ACCCCATATGTGTCAGAGTAGAACTGTGCTCCGCATGGTCATGTGTGGTCCAAATGACTGATAGTCATAAAGTAGATCACTGGCCTTTCTGTCTTTCAAGGTGTCACTGAGCACATGTGGACCTCCAAACGTTCCCTGAACATTCCCTGACGTACCACAGATCAATCAGAGTCTCTGGGATGGGATCTATCTGCGTATTAGGACTTCAAAACTTTCCTTTATGCTGTCCTGATATGCAAATGAGATAGAAAATTACAGATAGGATAAAAAAACCTACTCTGCACCACTCAGGGACTCAAGTTTTCATATAAACCAGCTAGCACTGGGTTGATGATGCTCAGAGTAATGCTATCGGACAGAGTGGAACTGTTGCTTCAGGTTGCTGAGACTTTAAATCTTTATAGAATTATGTAACTTGTGGATTTGAACCACTGACCTTGCAGTTGGCACTCAATATGTAGTCCACTATTCCACCAGGGCTCCTTCAGTTTACATATAGCATTATATAAAGGCTAAAAATCCAGAGACTACGGGCTTCAGATACAGTGATTCAGCCATCTGAATGTCCACAGAACCTAAGAACTTCTGTCTGAAATCACCATGTCTGAGCTGTCTCTCAATGCTTCTCAAAGGAGCAAGAAGCTTCATCACTTAACTGGATTTTTGAGAGAGCAGAGTTTACCCAGTTACTTGAATTGGATACCCATCTACTCCATTTCTTCTCACACCAAATTTCTCACCAAGAGGGGTCGATTCCCTCTCAGAATTTTCTCTGGAATGGAGATCCTCCTTGACAAACCCAGCATCCCTATTTCTTTATCTGTCCAGACTGTTGAGACAGCGACCTATATGTTCTATCATCTTTTACTTTCAAGGTAACCACCAGACATAGCACAAATTTATCTAACCTATTAAATCATTCTCAAACATCATTATCTTCAGGATGCTTATAAATATACCTGCCACTCAATTGTTTTTGCCCCTGTGCCTCCACACTGAATTTTTAGCTCCTACTATAAAACTGACTGGAAGTCTAGCAGGAATGCACCTTATAAGCAAGGATGGTGAAACTTCATATTATGTACTTTGGACATGTTTTCAGGAGACACAAGTCCCTGGAAAAGGACATCTTGCTTGGGAAAATATCAGGAAACCCCAAAAGAGGAAAACCCAAGACAAGATGGATTGACACAGTGGCTGCATTGTTGGTTCAAACATAAAAACCATTGGGAGGATGGGACAGGACTTGACAGTGTTTTATTCTGTTGTAAATAAGGTCTGTGAGTCAGAATCAATTCGACATCATCTAACAACAACACTGTAAACCTTAAGGAGCCTTGATGGCATAGTAGGTTATGAATTGGACTGCCAAGGACAAGACCAGCAGTTCAAAACCACCAGCCACTTTGTAGTAAAAAGATGAGACTTTCTATTCCTGTAAATCAAGATAGTCTCGGAAATCCACAGGGACAGTTCCACTTTGTCCTATGAGTCAGCACCAAGTTGATGGCTATGAGTTGATTGGTTTGGGTTACTATAAAACTTAGCACACTATCAAAATTACAAGCTGATGATCCCCCGTTAGTGGAACAAATGAATTGACTGCACTGTTGTTTGTAATGGTTCCTGAGAACAAGATACATATGAGTCTTCCTGTATCTATTCATTATCTGTACTCTAACCCGGCACCAAGATGAATTGCAATATTTGATGAATGAGAGTTATAGGCTGTGTAAATGTGGGTGTAGGTGGTGGTGATGGTGGTTGGGATGGGGTTTGAGGTAGAGGGATTGGGTGGATACAAGAGAGACTAAAATTCCTAGAAGCAATTCCTCCATCTCTCAAAAATATCCACACCAATATGTGGTTTAATTTCTGGGATTTTAAGAGAAGTTAGTTTAGGAAAAGCTAGTTAGAAGGTAAGGAGCCCTAGTGGTGTAGTGGTAACTCGTTGGGCTGCCGACCGAAAGGTTAGCTGCTCCACAGGGGAAGTCGGGGGGTGGGGAGGGATGAGGCTTTCTACTCCTGTAGAAAGTGCAGTTTCAGAAACCCACAGGTGCACTTCTACCCGTCCTACAGAGTTGCTATGAGTCAGAATTGACTTGCTGGCTGTGAGGTTTTTTGTTTATTTGTTTGTTATTTAAGTTGGGAGGTAACTGAGAAGGTAGCGAATGGACTAAATCTACACTTTAGGAATACCTTGAGGAGGCTGGATACAGGTTGAAGAGAATTTCTAACATGTAAGGAAGATCACAGACGCTTCCAAATTCTGCAAGGGAGCCGCCCACTTGAATGGCTGCTCAGGCTAATAATGACCTCATGCTCCTTTAGAAGGTGGGAGAACTCAGATTTTCCCATTTCTGCCTTGCCCTTCACCCCCTTTTAGATGCCCGCCCAATCTCTTCTATATTCTTGTAGAGGGAAAACATTGAGGAAAAGGTAGGAAAACAGACAGGAATTGAGAAGGGTCATGCAAATGGCCTCCTTTATAGAGACCATAAATCATGTTTTCCCTTTTAAAATTATTTCCCATGGTCACTAGGTCAAACTCCCTAAACTACACCTGTTGTAAACATAAATGACATCACTAGTGTCTCTATTCATCTGGATACCTGGAAACCCCAGATTCATGAGGATGGAGGAGTGGATCAAGGTTGAGAGGGGGTTTCAGAGGGGATAGTAGAGTGCCAGTGGGGCGGCAGATCCACAATCACAGAGACTGGAGTGGGATGGGCCCCCGAGGCTCATTTCCATTGCAGGCCTCATTTTATATGTCAGTGAAATGCAGGTAGTACTCTGACCGAGCTGAGAGTAGCACGAGGGCTCCTGTTCCCAATCCTGTGGATTTTTTCACTCTTGCTTACTGCTTTCAACCTATGACTCTGACAAATTTCAAGGAGTGTTTCAAGAGGCAAGAAACATATACCCTCAGGCTCTCATGTGCAGCCACACATAATGTCATTTATCAGTATTCTTGGTCCATCAAATCATAGCAAGTGGAGGCATGAGGTAACCTGGATTCTTGTAGTCTTCTCCTGCCTACTGATCGCCTGCCCATCCACACACCTAGGCCTCTTCAAGGCTTTCCTTGGGCTGATCAGGGTAGGATGACTCAATAGAGGCCATGTTCGCCTCCCCATCTTCTTTGAAGCCAGACAAGAACCCCTGTAATCTAGGAAGAATGTTTATCCAGAGCCAGTCTTCAGGCCGAGATTCCTCGGGGCCCAGAATCCCCATGATGGGCCTGGTTAGGACACAGCAGAAATCTATTTCCTACATTGCTATTCAAGCCCTGGTCTTTCCAAGTGCCTCATATGCTTGTGAAAGTAGGGCATTTGGACATCGAATAAAGACTGAAGAAGAATGGATGCATTTGAATTGGGGTGCTGGAGAAGAATACGAAAGTACCGTCGACTGCCAGAAGGACAAACCCATCTGTCTTGGAAGAAATATGGCCAGAGTGGTCCTTAGAGGCACGCATGGTGAGTCTTCCTCTTACCTACTTTGGGCATGCTGTCATGAGAGACCAATTCCTGGAGAGGGTCCTCATGCTTGGTAAAGTGGAGGGGCAGGGAAAAAGAGGATGGCTCTCCGGGAACCCAAGAGACGCCGCTGCGGCAACAACGGGCTCCAGCATCGGAACGATGGTGAGGATGGTACAGGACATGGTAGGGTTTCCTTCTGTTGTGCATAAGGTCACTGTGTGTCAGAACCAACTCGATGACCCTTAACAATAAGATCAATATCGATACCCCAGGGCTGTTCTGAGGCTGCCGGTGTGCAACCTCTAATGTGTCGGACCCGTCAGTCAGGATAGAGGCCAAATTCTTAAAAGATGCAACGAAAACTTCCATGACAGGATCTGGGTTCTCTCTATCTTGAGCTTCCCATTTCCCCTGCTTTTACACACCTCCCCTTCTGGCTGTGCACACACCATTCCTTGCAATTCTCTAGAAGTTCCTGGCTCTTCACACCTTTGGTCTTCTTCCTACTTCTCTTAACTGCATCCCCCAAACCACAGGCAGGTCACAGCACTGTGGAATCCTTTCCTGCCACAGCCGCCACTTTCACTGGGTGCAGTTGACTATTTCTCTTCTCTACTCCCATGCCTGCCTTTTCAAGCCCTTGTGACACACGGTCAGGAAGATTTGTTCATCTCTCTCCCTGTAAGCTGTCTACATGAGCGTCAGCTCTGTGACCTCTATCACTTATCTCAGAGCCTAGCATACGATTGCTAAATAAAGTATCCAATGAACAGAGAGAGCCCGTGGCACAGCTTTCAGGCAGGGGGGGGTGAGCCCAGATAATGTAGAAAGTTCATCAGAACTGCTTTCTCATGAAGTAGGATATGCCAGTGAGGTGTCCCGTGCGACAGTTTGGGCCAGGTACACAGTAAAGAACACAATGCCTCAGAGTCAGTCTGCTAGTCAGTCAACATCCAAAGACACATCTTATCTCTGTGACCCTGCCTTGAGTTCTGAAAACCCAGAGGAAGCGGCAAAACAAACATGATGGTATCTGGTCTCGCTTTTTTCACGTTTTGCCCCTCAACTGTAAACTGACTGTTGAAATGTAAAGCATCAGCCAGAATTAAAACCCTGGGATGTCTACTACAGCAGATTATATTCTCTGCTGCTTTTTGCAAAATATACTGTCTTCTTATTTATTGGGCCTTTTTCAGAGAATAAAATTTGCAACCCCCAACTGTGTCTCGATGGTAATCAGACAAGAGAGCAGGCAATCTAATATAAATCTGGTAAGCCTCGTTTTGCTGAGGACAAGGCAGAGGGAGAAGGGCGGAGAAGGGTAGGAGGAGGGCATGGAGAGGTGGGAGCCAGAAGAGGAAGGAATGAGGTAGGTGCCGAAGGAAAGCTTCCGGCTTCAGGAGAGTCAGAGATTGACGTCTGAAAAGAGGCAATAGCAAGCAGCTAAAAAACTATTTTTTTTAAAGACCAGGCTATCAACACTTTAATCAAAGTTAGTAAGAAGGTGATACTAACCAATAGTCCGGCAGATATTTCTGAATTAGAGGCTGGATTTTCTCATGGTCTCCTCCTGGCTTTATGGCAAACACCTTGTGAAAAATTTCTTTGTTCAACCAAGCAGATCCATTAGATGAATCTGACCAAAATCTGGCAGAGAAGGATGGGTTGAAGGTGGCGCTGAGTGGAAGCTCTGGGTCAGACCTTAATCTTTAGCTTCCCGATCTTGCTACTTCGATACAGAAACCTTCACTACATCCCCAATTCTCTTCCTCTTGGTCTCCGTCTCTGTCTCAAGTGTCTGTATCTGCCTCTCTGTCTTTCTCTCCCAGCCCTGGTATCGGTAAAGTAGATGAAAGCTCGCCAGGCCATCGCCTTACATAATGGTTCACCTGACCTTTGCCCAGCACTTCTTTGCTCTCTGCCAGCTGAAGTGAAGGCCAGGGCTGGCCTGGAATCTCCTGGGGCCAAACACACCAAAGCCAAGGCAGACCAGTTTAGGAGAGGAGCAAGTGTTCGAATTCATCAGAGGCTCCAATTTGGATAGACTAAGATGCATACGTGTATGTGTGTCATGGGTGTGTGTGTGTGTTTGTGTTAATCACCTTAATTGAATACCACCACTTCTGCAAGGAGGGCAAGAATGAAAGGCCACAGACCCGGTTGTGATGCCCATTGGCATCTCAAGTGCCCAGAGTGCAGCATGCTAAATATTTGATAAATGAAAAGAAAAAGAAACTAATGAATTTGGAAACATTAGCACCCGTTGGAAATATTGAACATATTTCATTTCACCATAAATGTTTAACCATAGGACCTGTAGTATAGTTAGCAAAAGCTCATTAGTATCTCCTACATATGAAACATTTAGTCCTCAACTCCTAACCCACCAAAATCCTACTGAGTTAAGGATATTTTGGTCAACTGAGCAGGAGAACATAGAACAAAGATAATTAAAGTAGGTTGGTTTTTAAGAAACAACAATGAAAACCAAAAGTTAACTAAGAGCAAAGATCTAAAAAATTGAAAATGTAGTAAATTATAATATTTCAACTACAAAAACAACATACAAAACAAACAGAATTGCTTTCTACTTCATGGGATTCACCATAATTTTTGTAATTATTCACATGGTTAGAACAATCATGACGATTCTCATTATTGCATAGGGACTAAATGGGAGTACATACAATACTTTGTGACAAATACTCATGAGTGTAACCAAAAGTCCTCTCCACACGATCACCATAAGAAATCTGTTCAAGGTTTACAACCGTAGTCAGAATTAGTGGGGCCTGAGCCCTGGCAGCATAGTGGGTTATGTGTTCTGCTGGTAACCACGAGGTCAGCAGTTCGAACCCAACCAGCTGCTTCATCAAAGAACTATCAGATTTCTACTTCTGTAAAGATTTAGACTCAGAAACCCACAGGGGAAGTTCTTCTCTGTCCTATAAGGTCACCGTGAGTCGGAATCAATGTGATGGCAGTGAGTTTTATTTTAGTGTTTTCATTTATGCCAGTTCCAAGACTCCTTCTGCCTGGCTAGATAAACTTCCCACCGTTGTTCCCAGTTCAGGCATTCTGTGATAGGTGAGATAAAAACTCAAGGAAAAGAAGAAGTCCTCAGTGGGAGGATTCATTTGAATGGTATAGGTGACGTTGGCTTGTTGTCAGAGGCCATGGAGTCAATTTCATGTGACAGAGTAGAGTTGCTCCACAGGGTATCCTACGCTTCATGAGAGGAGCTCTGGTGGCACAGCGGGTAAGCATTTGGATGACAATGG